CGTAATCTGTAAAAGCACTTCTGAAACCATGATTTGGTTTTCTATCCAAACACCCCCTAAATATGGCCATGGGATCAGTTTTTTAATGATATATGCACACACACGTATTGTTTCATTATTGTATATTTAATTAATATTTTGCATCTCAAGCAACTCAGGGATTTCCCATGTGTTAGGGAGAACAACGCGGGGTTTAGATTATTACTCGATTGGTCTAAGCTATCTATATTAAATTTGATTTTATTAAATTAATTCTCCGTTAAAAAAGAAAGAAAGAAAGAGGGTATCATTTCCTATTTCTTCTGCTTTAATTCGTGTTTGATCTTATCCTGCACGTCTGTCCTCCCTCAAATTAGATTCCCGATTCCACTCCAGTCATATTTAGGTTAGGGCATGTATCCCAAAATCATGGCGTATTTTTATTTTCTTGCTTTTTTGGTGATTGTGTGTGTGTGTCTATAATATATATATATATTTATTTTCGAATCTACGCGATTCTCCTACATATCAGCCGAGTATTGTTGCTTCGGCTCACCTCGCCAACTTCTTACAACTGCGCTCCGTCAGATCCCCCCACCCCCCCACCCCAGTCAATCATCACCTAATAAGTCAAAGTAGCCAAATATATTTTTTTTTCTGGCAAAAAAAAAAACCCAAATATTTAATTTTTTTATATTACAAAATATAGCCGGAAATCTGAAGGACCCAGTTGCTAGGAATGAGGAGCAACAATTTGGAAGCAAATAGGATGAATCGTTTATTCCTATAATGGTCACTGCCATCAGCTCTCGATGATGTCCCCTTTCTTGATCCAATATTTGATCCTTTCCTCCAATCAGTGATGTTGGATCGCGCCGGCCGATCCACACTCAAATCTCCACTCTGCTGCATGTGCCCCTGGGCTCACGTCAACGCTGCACTCACCCATTTGCTCCCTTAATGCTCCGACCCAGTCAACTCCCACTTATTTATATCCATTCACAACACAAACCAGCATGCCATTGCTGTCTTTTGCAGCATAGGATAATGGGAAAAAAATTTGTGCTGTCTCCTTCTTGCTTAATTATTGACATTTACCTGTTCCAACATGAGCCTCTGATCTCTATAAAACCCCTTCTGGTTCCTTCTCATTCACACACAGAAACTATAGTTCACGCCTTCACTGTCTGCAACTCTGTATCAGTAAATGGCAACCTCCTTCTCCTCTGCTTCTTCCTTCTTCCTCGTCTTCTCTACCTTCCTACTCTATTCCTGCTTTGCTTCCTTGGCAGCCGAGGGTTATCCTCCCTGTCCCATTTCATCTCTCGTGAGCAAAAAGCTCTTTAAAAACCATCTTCCTCCACAAAGATGACTCTGCATGCCCTGCCAAAGACTTTTACACCTACGAGTCTTTCATTCTTGCCGCCAAATGCTTCCCTGAATTTGGCACCACCGGCAATATAGCCACGCGAAAGCGTGAGATCGCTGCATTTCTTGGTCAAATCTCCCACGAGACCACTGGTGGGTGGGCCACCGCCCCTGATGGACCCTATGCCTGGGGCTTGTGCTTCAAGGAAGAAATTAAACCTCAAAGTAATTACTGTGATTCCACCAACGCTCAATGGCCTTGTTACCCTGGCAAAAGTTACTATGGCAGAGGACCCATTCAACTCTCTTGGTATGCGCCCCCGCGCGCGCGCGCATTATTGCCCGTTCGTTCGCTTGTTCGTGCCTTTTTTTCCCCCCACTTTCTGGCTTTCATGTAGGTATACTGATTTTAGCTTTTGATTTGCAGGAATTTTAACTACGGGCCAGCTGGGAAGGCTTTGGGATTTGATGGGCTGAGGAATCCCGAAATCGTAGCCAACAATTCTGTGATAGCGTTTAAAAAACGGCTCTGTGGTTTTGGATGACGGAACGAAAGCCGGTACCTTCTCCTCACAACGTGATGGTGGGCAAATATGTGCCGGCACAAGCTGACATAGCAGCTAATCGTACGGCTGGCTACGGGTTGGTGACCAACGTAATCAACGGTGGATTGGAGTGTGGAATCCCTAACGACGCGAGAGTGAATGATCGGATCGGGTTCTTCCAAAGATATGCCAAATTGTATAACGTGGACACGGGACCTAATTTGGACTGCGCTCATCAGAAATCATTTTAAGTTCTAACTAATCCTTCTGTTCCGGCTTCGGCTTGCCTTTCTTTTTGTCCTTGGTGTAACTCCTAAAATAAATAATATATTTCAACTCGAAGCGTATTCCCTAGAGACCATGGTTCACGTGAAATTCTGTGCTTATAATTTGACAACGACTTGTCTAGTTTTACAATGTTCTGCGTCCTCATCAGCTTTGGTCACGACGACAGGGTGGCGAACGAAAGCGATATCAAAAGACATGGACGATGTCCGTTATATTTGAATCTTTCCAATCACGTACTCTATAGTCTATACTCATAAAACAAACATGGCAGCATCAACATTTATTGAGTCATAGAGAGTGCCGGCTGCCCACTCATTTTCCTATAAGTCTCTGAATAATAATACTTCCCGTGCTAAATATAAAAGTTAATTTACTACAATTAGTTTTATATTTAGGTTGCAGGTAGTACGACTTAGGGTGTGTTTGGATTAGCGGTGGAGAAGTAACTTTTTTTTCAATCTGACTTTTACAGAATCAGATTGATAAAAGTCAGATAGGATAATGTGATTTTTTTTGGTTGGTTTTAGAAAAAGCCAGTTTGAGAAGCTGAAACTGTTTGGATGATAAATGTAAAATAAGTTTAGATGTAAAATACTGAAACGGACATAAATGTTATTAAATGACATATATATATTGACATAAGCGAAATTTTTAAGAGAAATATTAAAATTAACAAATTATAAAATAAAAATAGCTCTAAATTACTTAATTAGATATGTTTAATGATAAAAATGTATATAAATTTTAAATATAAATAAATACAATGATGCAGATATATTTGAATAATCCCTTGATATTAGAATATTTGGACTAACTTATTTGAATATAAGATTTTAGATAATGAAATAACAAACAAAAAGATACCTTACAGAAATAAAGAAGGTTCTGGCTTTTTGTTTTTTTTAACCCCAAATCTCAATCAATTCTCCTCACTCCACCGCCTGCCTTTTCCGCCCCTCCCCAACCTTCCTCTATCAATTCGTCCTTGATGGCAGCAACAATAATCATTCACAGCCTCTCCCCACCTCAGCATCTCAAATCCCCTCAAACTCAGCGTCTCAAATCCTTTGGAGATGAATAATCATTCACAGCCTCTCCCCCCTCAGCGTCTTATAATTTCACAGACCCACCATTGTATCTCTAAGATTCTTTTGCTTCTTCTCTGGCGAAGAAAAACAGAGCATCTCATATCATTCGCAGAAAGAGGTTTGTTAATTTTTCATCCTGTCCTTGGGTAGAAGGGCAACTTGGGTAAGTAACAAATTTAAGGGGCTCATGATGTTGCCGCCCGTGATGCACCAGAAAAGCACTTTTTGTGGCTCTGCTCACCGTGCGATAGAAGAGAAAAGGCTTTTTCAGACAATCGTGGATCAAACAAAAAATAGTCAGAAGTTGTTTTTTGCAGTGTAGAAGTTACTTTTGGGGTCACCAACGTGATCCCAAACACACCCTTAGTGGCAGCATGTATCGTCTTTATTTTAAGGTTGATTTCACGCTGTGATTTTTTTTATTTTTTATTTCTTAATTTCGTCTTATTAATGGCATGTATGAGGAAATCTATAATCCAGAGCTCGGGGAGGCCCTGCCTTTGTAAGCCAAAAAAGCCGAACTTCACTGTGACGTTTTTTACGCCCGTGTTGTCACCAGAAAAAAAAACAAGGTGTCTTCGTCATGATTATCGGAGCCATTCGACTTTATGGACTATTGTATTTTCAAGTGAAATAAGAAAAAGGATTAAAGTCGCTGTTAATTTGTCCAGAAACTTTGTCGGCGGGGAGCAGGAAAACGACAACTTCTGTTTCCTCTGAATCACCTTTCATTTTGTCCCCTCATATTCTGCTTGCCAAAAGTGCAATTACATTACGGAGTATTTCTCAGGGGATGAATTCCAATCTTCCAATGTAATTTTTTATTATCCGACAGAAGTATCCTCTTAAATTATTTATGTGGGTCTGATCTGTTTAGTGCCTTTTCTCATCGAATCTTTTTTATTCTTGTCATTCAATTCGTTTCTCTTTTTTGAAATTTTTTTGGGCCCCAGCCGAAGGCTTGAGAGAGTTCCTATGCCAGCTAATGCGCTTTTGGGCTACTGAAAATGCTGGTTGGATCGAGTTTTAAAAGCGAACTTAAATTCGTCGCCCAAAAAAAATCGAGACTTTAGGCCTGTTCACGACCGATATGCCAAGTCCGACAACTATTTCGACGGGGAAAACATGGTTAAAAGGGACTAAATGATTCATATATTTGAGAAAAATGGCCAAATGCAATTTTTGGCCAAAAAAAAGCCTGCTATTTCTCATCACTATTAATCTATAGTTTTTTTGAGTCTACAACTTTCTTTCATGTTTCTGTAAGTTATGTCGTATTTTTGAAATATTTGAAACTTTTGGGTCTTTCCACCAATTTTAATTTCTGACTAACGTCTCTTCTTGCCCCACCATTTTTATAGCTCGTCTTTCATTATTATGGCGAATTGGATTTCAGCATTTGCTTCGCTGTTCTTTCCTTTTCAGACCCTCTTTCTCCGAACAAAAAAGCCGAGGAATCGAGTGGAGACAAGTGGGTAAAACAGTGAATGAGAGAAGACAGTTTGTTTAACTTCAAATTCCTGGAAGAAAAGCAAGGGCAGTTTTAGCTGAGAATGTACAAGAACTACTCTTTCCCACTTTCTTTTACTAAAGAAAAAGGACAAAGTTTTGAGGCTGTGCATATACGTCTATAGCTTTCAGCACGCTTTGCCTACCACTACCCTAATCCTGATCACATCTCATCACAGATCGCTACCACTAGAGCTATAGGACAAAATTGGAAACCACCCAATCCACAGGCTGCACTGTCATATCTGAAAATTAACACCCGAATGCGTCTACCCTCGTAATCTTCAATCTCTTCACTGTTGAGAGGAACATTCTGCAACCAAACAAGACGTCATAAGTTAATGCCCAAATATGGAATACTACGTGTTTATCACAATGTCCAAGAGATTCAGGAATCACTCACTCCCACGGAACATCACCGACCATGACCAAATCTCCTTCTTCGTCTTCGTATGTTAGCACATGGCACCTCTCTGGTTGCACCCCATCCATCCCTGTCCCCCCTGTTCAGGCCACACCATGTTGCATTGTTATCAGTCAGAGAGAGAAATCAACGTGTTATCAGGTACAGAATCAGAAAAGCACGGTGAGCGAGAGGTTTGGGACTTTACAGAGAATGGTAGTGTCAAACATGTTTTCCAGAGTCCTCACTAACCCATGGTAGCCGTCGTGAGCTACCAGATTGAGTTTTCTGCCTATTGGAATGCCTTCCATGTACACCTTTACAAACAAGCTGCCATGATCACCACAATCATTTACTTCTGCCGCATGATGAGCACGCTGGTTTGGGATCCAATCTGTTGCTTGCCCCCTAATATGAGAAATAATCGAGAAGGATCAGAATCTGGTAAAACCCGGATGGTGCATGAACTATCTAAGGATGGCGTGGATTCCGTAAAATTCATACCTTGAAACAGAAGAGCCGACATGTTGAGTTGCTGAAATGCCGAGGCCAAGCCTGAGATCTGTAGGAAGGTCAGAGTGGGGAGGCGGGTGAGGGATGAAGCAGTTGAGATAAGGGGGTGGTTGTTGCTGCTGATAGAGGAAGAGGAAGAGCTAGAGGCTTTGCCCATCTGTGGAATAATAATGTGACTCCAAGAAGCCGCCACCTTAAGCCTTTAAATAAACAGAGTCAGCCTCGAAGAGAGACAAAAGAGCCGGGGGGGGGGGGGGGAGAGAGAGAGAGAGAGAGAGGAGAGAGATCTGTGAAAAAGACTTCCTCAACAGCCGCGTTCCCCGCCTCCCTCTTTATCTTCCTTCCATGTCATTGGTAGCCCTAAAATGTTGCCATGGCAGCCGACAACTACACGTGTCATTAAAAAAACAGCATGCTGTAATTCCGTGACAAATCTGATTTTGGGTACGAGCTGTGGAAATTAAAAGGGCTCGTTAGTTCCTGAAAGCTTGAGAAAAATGGTAGTTACATTAAAGTTGACCCCGGGGTTAGAGACAAGTGAGAGACAAAGCGTGTAAGGGGTAATGCTGAGCGAGTGGGATAGGGAATGAATGTGGACCGTGGACAAAGAATGGGGGGAAACTCAGGTGGACAAAAGAACATTGATATCTGAAACCTTGTACGCAGATGTAATCTATGAATCAATGTTCAATGGATATAATCATCGTGTTGCGCATGAGGGGCCTTGGGTGCAGATACTTGTGTTATATTTTAAAAGAAAAGGTATTATTGGTACTGGTGACGCTACGCATACTCCTCCTCTATGCCAACAAACATCATTGATGTACTTCTTGAAATAATCCCTCATCTCCGAACACTTACAAAACCATCAACCACATCAAAAACATACTCATGAAGGGGAGTTGCATCGATTCATTACAACCCGAGCGAACCATATTCGCGACTTGACAGGTGTCCTCCTGCCTCCACAATCAGCCAGACAGCTCACTGGCATCATTTTCTTTGAAGTTGGGGCATAAAGTGGGTAATTTTCAGTGGAGGAATAATCAAAAGCCATTTATTTGCAATGGATGAGCAGAACAAATAAAAAGGCGCAATATTTGATCGTTGATAAACGTGATCAGTATGAATCTGGAAATGGCTTTGTTTTTTTTTGGTTTTTTGTTTAATAGTAAAAGGTGATACCCGAGCTCCTATCTTGGGGACAGGCAATCCCCTATTAACGATACAAAGAAAAAGGCGCAAAGTGGTTAATATTATATTGGTCGTTCCTTCTCCGTTCAAGATCTCGCGCCCCACGTGTATAAATTCACGTGCCGGAGGGAGGGGATTTGGTGAGCCCTGGTTCACAGGCTGAAATTAATTCCTGTGTTGATTCACAGGAAGGTATTTGCTTGGAGCTAAAGGGATGGGAAACGGTGGGAGAGGCGGGGTTGGGAATATGATTTTCAAAAGAGGGAGAAAAAGAAAAAGGCAAAATGTCCCCCACCACCCCAACCATAAGGTTGCTTCGATTAGCCATCAATTTGTCATTTGGTCGCCAGCACAGTATTTTGTGTTGAAACTTAAGGAAAGCAAAGGGGAAACCCACAAGCGCTTTTTCGCCAATAGGCCCAGTAGGAGTGTCTCGCTATTTAAAGACCAAATCTTCTCATTTCTTTGTCATTCCCTGTTTTTACCAGCTGGTAGTTTCACTGCCTCCGTGCCCCGTCATCATTGCCTGCGCCTTTGCAATTTTGAATTCCATCCCTTAGTCAAACTTTAGATACGCACTTTTGAATTCTCCCACGTAACATTCCTTGAACTTTCCTGTTAAGATTTCCCCCCCAGTGTCACATGAAATCCTCCGTTTTGCCCTCCCAGTTTTGACTTCTCGACCTTCCCATCCTAACAAGCTTACTGCCTTAATCCCCATGCCTCCACATATTTCAGAGGCTTATCCTCTGAGACCAGACTTTTATCTCGGTTCATATTCGAGCCTTGCATTATAGCTTCATTCATGGGACACCGCCTAGTCCAGGTACTAAAGCAGCGAGCAAAGCACGTGAAAATTAATAATCAAGAATTAATGTCATTGTAATTAAAGTCATTCCATTCATGCGATTACGTTATTCCATAATAAGTTGAGATCCACAAATCCTATTAAGGGCGAACGGTCGAGTGCAATACGGACAACGGTCATGCCCTAGAAACTATTTCTAATAATGGCGCGACACTTTAATTCTCTCCAACTGTCAAATTCTGCTGTGTGTGTTTATTTGTTAAATACGAAACACCCGTATGAGAATAGAATGACAGCGATGACCTTGTCTATTACAATATTACGAGAATAATATAAATGGGATCCGCACCCAGGAGCCACCAAAATTCAAATCTTACGTGACAAGTCAGCGACACTTTATCATCACTGTGCAATGATATACCGGTCCTACAAAATTCCTACAACCCACCAAAATTTGCCCCTATTTGTACACTTTCTGCGACAGAAAATCATTTACTTCGGCCGCCACCTCGTAAGCTCCCTCAACACATCGTCCCAAGGCAACACCAGACACATAGTTGCCCCCAAGAAACAGCCCTTCATGTCCGGTATTTTTCAGAGCAGCATTAGCAGCATCTAAAAGATCAAAATGGCCAACTAAGAATTGTGGAATAGCTTGAGGCACAGTCTCACGCCCAATACATGCGGGTCCTTTGCATTTGGGTTTATAAGGATTTTTCTCAAATCTCGATCACTGCTTCGACCACATCGTCCGTCTAAACTTGCTCATCTCGAAATCATCATGCTCTGTAACAAAAAAAAACAAAATCACAATGACAAATAAGGGTAGCAAATCTGGCAATCACAAAATCATTTATAGTTGTCAACATATTATTCAAATCACAGAGATTATGCCTGCACCTAGGGCCACCAATGGTTTTAACTTTCAACATCAACATTTAAAACGACATAGGGAATCACCAAATTTACCAAAACAACAGTTCATATAATTGCATCTATCTCAACAAATATTCGGGTTTCATTCAAGAGTTATCAAACCTTTGATAAGATTCCAGGATTTGTTGCCCCTCCAATGTAATTCAAAAGTAGAATCCTTCCAGGAGGAGCTCGGTTAGGAAACAGTGATGAGCTGTATATAGTTCCTGAAAAATCAAGAAATGGTTAGCTTCCACATTGTCAAACTTGACTAGATGCTATAACACAACCATCAAAATAAAGCTCCCAAATCAAACTTGGATAGTAATCGATTTAGATAAACAAGTTTCGGTCATAAACCTTGGCTTTTACCATATCCTATTACTTGCTTACCTAATGTCTCCACTCCTTGACTGCGTGGATGCAACTGCCCGAACCCCTTTAGTTCACCATCTATTAAGCATTCCGTTCGAATAGCTTCTTTTGGATAGGATATAGATACTGCAGCAACTGGAGGATAATAAAACTTTGAAAGTGCATCTGCCGCAGTAGTCTGCATGTGAGGGTAAATACTTGTTAGAAGACAGGTGGGTGAAAAATTAGTGATATGCACAAATATGTATAAAAATGTGTATTATAAAACTTTGGTACTCATATGCTACTTTCTTTGTGCCTCCCCGTGTTATGAAAGAAAAGAAGAAGAATATTATATACACACACATATCTATAGAGAGAGAGAGAGAGATAGAAACAACTTTATCAAGTAACTAATCATCTTTCCATCCAATCCAACACCCATTTATAGATGGGCTCGTTGGTTATGCCCTAACTCAGCTGAGTAGTCATTACTAACCAACATAACCACATAACTTCGCATATTATTTTCCTATCACACTGAAGGAAAGACGTATTGCCACTTCGCATGCATTTGTGTTAAGCTTATACATCTCTATTTTGAATCTAAAAATATTCATCGGACAAGTTCGAAAAAGATAGACTTTTGTAATCATCACGCACACGCCACCCCCCCCCCCAAAAAAAATCCATATTAGTAAAATTATAAATGAAAATACCAGTTTTCTCCTATACAACATGAAATCAAAAAAGATGGCTGGCCTTGAAAGATTGTATTTCCAGACAAGATAGATATAGAAGCCAAAAAACATGCAATATTGTGCACTTATGCACCCAAACCCATCCACACATCAATACATTCCCAATTTCAATGAATCATACAGTTTCATTTCACAGATTCCACTGACAAAATAGTTCATATTTTATAATACTTGACATAAACCTCATTTTTAGAAAGAAACATACAGATAAAGGACGTAGCAGTGTACTAGCAACATGAGAAGGAATGGTCAGGACAACAGTTTTGCTTTGCACAGAAACCACTCCTTCTGGTGTTTCATATGTCAAACTGTATTCTCCGCTGTCAAGTTTACTAATGGTTGAAAGCTTCCAAGATAACTTCACTCTGTCACCCAACCTGCCAAAGAGGGGGGGGGGGAATCACTACAATCGTCAATGCTAAGTGAAGTGGCAATTTAGCCAAACATTAATTAAGTTGACATCGAGTACCTTGTAGAAATTGCTTTTGGCAACATGCTAAGTCCCTTTCGAAAAGACCCAACAGTTTGACCCTTTGGTTTTGGAAGACGCCTATGAATTAACATAAATCAGGAAAGGAGCCATAATGTAAAAGAAAATTTGACAAGCTCTAGAGTAATCATATCATTACGGGTCACGAGGTGATTTAGGAGATTTATTCCTCTCCTGTAGTGTTTTGAAAGTACCACCAATTATGCTACCCCCATTTTGCTCCAGCCTCCAAACTTTTCCAAATGCTGCTTTCATACTTAATTTTGAAGGATCGCCCGCATAGACACCTGAATAAGGTGAAATTCAGGTAAGCCGCCAGATTTACGAATAAAGAACCAAAGCAAACATACATTGAAAAGTTGAATTCCATATCAGGTGAGAAAAGTTAGGTGAAGTAAACTTGTCAATAATAAGAACAAAAGAAGGTACAGTATGTAATCAAGTCTCAATATTGTAGAATTTTAGCATAGACATGCTTGTAAAAACTGATATTTCGGCTGAAAATGCATCTCACAATGACTTTTCTTGTATTGTAACTCCTTTTCATTCCATTGAGGGGAAGAATAGTTTGACATTTACTATAAATTCAGTGTTCGATATCTACTAATCTGCTTGGGCTCTATCAGAATCTTAATTTTTCGGCTCTCACCTGAACAAAAAGGCTCTATCAAACGTTCAAAAACCTCATTACCAAGGTTACGGCGCACAAATTCTTCAACTGATTCCTCATGATCCTGTCACCTTCGTCAGTATTATGATATATATGAGAAACCCAATTTAAAACCCATGTCTTTAATCCTTCTGGACATGCATTTGACATGATATGATTAAACAAAGAGAGTTCAAGAGGACAAACTGGTGGAGGTGGCCGAAGGCCTAGTGCCCCAAAGCCTGCTCTCAGTTTGCCGCCAATGGTCATCAAGTCAAAGAAAGGCAAATCAGTTGGCTTTGATGGTACTGGCCTCAATTTTCCATTCCATAATACAAATCGAGGCGCATTAGGATCACCGAGAACAAGGTCATCCTTCAACCCGCTGTCCACCTGCCGAAAGCAACAAGATAGAATGGACAATAGAACCAGCAATACAGAATTACGACACCAAATCATAACGATAGCTCATAATTGTCAATCTACTATATAACAATACCACAATCATATAAAAGGAATCCCTCCAGAAGCGACATTCCATTGTACATTTACCACTTTATTATTAAAAAGCTACTCACAGAATGCTAGTCGGAATCGATGATAATGAGCTTGTGTCAATACTAAAATTGAGTTACCCCACAACTATCCAGCTCACTAACGAAACCAAGTCTAAGAAAATAAAATGACCGAACGGGGAAGAAAACCTTGAAATAAAGGTTAAAAGGTACGAACCACCATGGTGAGCATAGGATCAGAGGGCTGAAAACTGTTAGGGGGCCTTCCTCCCAAAGATAGCCATCCCTCTCAATAGTCGTAATGTTACCGCCAACCCGGTCTCTGGCCTCGGTGACAATCACATTGGCAGCGGCATTGGCATGCTTTGTGGAAAGGGCCTGGGCAATACAGATGCCACTGATGCCACCGCCAACGATCACGCAATCCACGGACGCAGAGTCATTACCGCCGGAATTGAGTTGGCCCCTAGTTTTTGCTGGAGATACTGCGGACTCCTCTGCAATTGAGCACCGCACATTAGGGCGAATCCAAGAGATTCTCCGATTGGAACGAGAACGCGAGGGAAAAGGGGTGATTGGGCAGATGAAAGAGGTTCGAGAGCTAATGAACGACGGGGTTGAACAAAGAAGGGCTTGGGTTGGTGACAATGAAAAGAGGTCGGTTAGGGTAGCCATGGCGATGGCGGGCAAACAGCGGAGAGAGATTGACGACCCACTTCGTTATCTTCAAACAGAAATGTCCAATAAGCAATCCTCGTTTGCAGCAGCAATCTATCGATCAACATATCAGGATAAAAATACGACTATATCAATTAAACAATTTTGTCAGCGTACACTTTTAATTTTCTGATTTATAAACTATATAATTGATGGATTGATGATGTGATAAAGCTGGCAAAAAATAAATATGGATGTGATAAAATTGATAATAAATTCGCCATTCACAATTCACAGCTCAATAGGCGAGAGAGAAACAGCTCATTCGCATGTCTCGACTCTTGATGTCTGACTGACCCCGAAGGCCAGCGAAGCAGTATATTTTTTTATAGGAAAAACTCGAAGAGCAGCTTAACCTCTGTTTTTTATTTGAAAAAAAGCATGATCTGACTTAAAAGCATATCAATAATTATTTTTTAACTAAATTTTTAGAACCTAGAATTTAATTTAAGATTAATTTATTTTTTCAAAGACCTTTCCCTTCAGAAATGATGTTTAAGTGCATCTAAAGGTTTGTTTATTAAAACAAAAATTATAATTACATTACATGTAAGGGCATTGTAGTCCGCGCAGTGGAAAGTCATGCGGAACGCCCGTACAATTTTCCCGCTTTTTTTCCCTCTACATATCAGTTGCATTGCAGCAAACATTTGGCACTCACTCAATTGTAAGCTTCCGTTAGTTCTTTCCATCTTCCACTGCCTTTGGCTATTGCGCAGTTCACTGAATCCAAATTTTGAATTCGAAAGTGGAGATTTCCAGCGATCAGGGCGAAGTAACACTGTGAGTATGTTTTCTTTGTCTAATCGGTTTATTATTCTCCATTTCACCTGGCAATTTCTTTTAGTATGATTTGAAATCAAATTTAGATCGTAGTCGCAGCATCATTTCATTATGTTTAACTGAAATGCACGTCGTTATAAACTTCCCGTCGTCGTTTCTGAATTTTTGAATCTCTCTTTCCTGTGGATTTGATTTCAAGGGGCTTGATAATTTGTTACACATGAAGGTAACCTGAAAGCTTGTTTTTATTTTTGTGCGCATGAATTTCTATTATTCGTTTTCTCGGGCATAAATGGGTGGGTGTTTATATACCTAGACTCTCATTCACAGCATGTTTGGTTGCTGAGGAAGGTAAGGATGAGAAGAAACTTCCGATCCCGGGCGTATTGGACTGTTGCTCATCTGAAAATTCGGCTTCATTAGTCCGCTGGATTAATCGCATACGATCCGCTGGTTTCCATGGAGGCCTTGCTGCTCTGGGTTATGAATTTTGAATTTACTTTTCTTCTTTCTCAACAACCAAACTGAGCTCATGCAGTTTTTACTTTTACTATCCTAACTCCGTACTAAAATCGAATGTTTCAGGTCTGTTAATGGTGCTCGTGTTTGTACCCCATCATAGTCGAAACTGCGACGATGGATGTCGAAGCACATCGGAATTTGCATGACGTAAGAACTGTAATTCTTCCTCTGGAGATTTTTTTTTCCCTTTTTGTTGCGGAATAAGGATAAGAATCTGGCCATTATAATTATGTCGAGTTTCGTAAAATATCATTCTTGAAGATTATCAGTGATCAGGTTTATTGATCGCTGTGATCACAGTTGCTCTTTTTAAATCCTATTTGGCATTCTGAGTCAATGGCTGCTTAAGCATTTACAATAGTTTGAAGTAAAAAGATCGGAATGGGATTTTATTAATGTTCTTTAGTCTTACATACAATAATTAATTTCTTGTTTTAACTTCTCAAGAGAAAAAATTGAATGCATTCATGAATTTAAATTGCATATTCAGGGGGAAGCCGGGGATTGCCGGAGTTTTGGTAGTAACATATATCCATATAGCCAATCAAGGAAAGTCTCCATAGGAGTAATGGTAAACTCGGGGGCTACAGCAAGACATGAAGCCATGACAGGAAATGAGGTTAACATGACCAATATGGAGAAGGTAATCTCTAACGTAGGAAATTTCGCTGGTGAAAAAGGCAAGGCTGAAGGAGCGAGGGCCTGCCCTAGCATGAAGCCAATTGGTCCAGAAGAGGTGAAGTTTGCTCGAATCACTAAATCCTTTTGCCAAAGAACACCCAATTCTGAGACCGTTCTTCAAGCAAACCAAACCTCTAATTTACTAGTCTTTACTAGGAGACAGGACAAACCTGATGGGGATGATACTTTAATTTTTCATCGCAATGATCTTAACCAGAAAAACTTGATGGAACAACCAGCAAACGAAAGGGAGGGAAGGAAGGAACCACTGGAAGGATAGAGAATGAATTTACATTCAACACTGCACGGGAAGTGGTCAAGTCTGATAAAACCAAGCCAGAGGACAGAAGAAATAAAACAGAAAAGAGACAGAAGATTTGAAGATGAAGCTTTGGGAAATATTGGGAACCACTTCTTCTCCCAAGACCAGGCGCTCAGGTTCTAAAACTTCTAACATGGATGAGGAGAGCGTGCTGCCTAGGCAGCGTTTTGATCAGGAGGAATGATAAATTGGTTAAGACCAGACA